CCCCCCCCCCCCGGGCCCACCACCCCCTCCATTTAAAGAAGGGCCTCATCTGTCTTGTCAGGTTTCTCTTTCGACATAAGCACTCTCCTAATGAAGTACAGGCTAAAACAAGAAACCCGAAAACCAGTAAAATCCAGCAGCGTGCTCATTTTGCCCATTATACTTACTTTCTCACCCCACCCCCATCACCGCCCCCCTTTCTCCCCCAATTAGCAGGCTTTTGCGGTCGCACGTCCGATCGCTGCTTAATTTATCACAGTTGCCAACCGATTTATCTTAAAAGTGAGTGTATATTGCCCTCGGTTTTCAATATCATGTTTACCGAGGGCCGATACTGTGAGAACTTTTAATATCCCTCATAGTTGAGAGGAAGTCATTTACAGGTCAACCACTTCCGTTTTATCCGTCGAATTCTGGGTAATACGCAGGCGCTATCGTGAAGCGAGTCAGAATTTGGGGTCAGGAGGAACTTTTTTGTTTCTTTTCGGTTGGACTAGTTTCAGATGAAGCTTGATCGCTGAGATGCGGAGTTCCACCGACATTTTCAAAGCTAAGTAACGCACAATGTAATATTTTAACCACTCGTGTTCGTAATGAAATTGCCATGAATTCGCCGAAAGTTCCCGAAGGACTTGAAGCCTTCTTGGCCCATGCAGAAAGCTTACATCCTTCTGGCAATCCCAAACGAGAGAACGGCTTTGCTAAAGAATTTCAGGTATGTAATTTGTGATAATACTGTAAAAACAGAGTAAATTATGTTGATTTAAAATCCATCGTTGTTATTTCCTTATTATCTGTATGCGGTCTTTGCTTTTATCTTCAAAAGCGAAACAAAGTTCGATCGACATTAGTCTTTTAGCTATCATGCTTATTTTGGTTTCACAATATTTACCATTAACCTTTTTGTCACTTAAGGGTGTATAAGACCATTTTTTTAATTGTGATTTTTCTTGTGAAAAATGCTGATAAACAAACTCAACAGCTGTGCACCCAAGGACAGCTGATATGGTTTTATGTGAATATTGTCACATGACAGGTTTTCATCCCCAGACATTACAAACGTCTCCACAATTGACTTAATTGGGAATGACCACACGAGTCCAGTGCAAGTTTGTAAATATGTACACATTCGACTTGCATGTTTAGGGCTGTCCTCGCGAGACTTATCGATTAACAAACTTATCCTTGGATTTCTAAAAATATTGAATAGATCTTTTCATGCTCATTCATCTGTGGATGAACGCTGTAAACACACAAGTTTGAATATATTTGCAAATTTTACAGAAGCTATTTGGGTATAGCCTTGCTGAGTGAATGAGCTGATCAATATTTCCTTAAGTTAAAACAGTTTTACAATTTTATTGGGTGGTAATTAGACTTTTGTATAGTGACAGGGCTCACACAGTCTTGAAAAGTCCTTGAATTTTAGGAGAAGTCCTTGAAAAGTCTGTGGATTCCATTTTTTCCTCAAAGGTCCTTAAATTTCTGTGCAAGTCCTTGAAAAGTCCTTGAATTTTCTTCAACTTTGAATGTAGTGAACTGGAAAGAATTTTTTGATGCTTTTTGCTTGTCCAAGACAGAATATAAATCATAGCTCAGAGAATTTAAAGGTTATTTACTTAAATTGCTCTATGTTTTATGCAATAATTAACTATCAGTTTAAGACAAGTGAACTGAAAAATGTAGAGAAGTTGGTGAAGCAAAAAATTCAAGCCTTAAAGGTCTTAATGATAGACTGGGAATGTGCATTTTTGTACAACCTGTGAAATTATATTCCTGGTAGGTGGTCCTTGAAAAGTCCTTGAAAAATGGTTGCAATTTATTGTATGAACCCTGAGTGAACACCTTGTTAGCTGCATCTGTGTAGAGGTGGGGTGGCTGTGGTGTCTAGGGACACCCACTTGATGTGAGTGTGTACCTCTAGCACACTAACAGTTCCACAACTAGTAATTTCTGTACCCGGCCATGTAAAATGAGCCAAAATTTGAAGCATCTACCATATAGGCATCATGGTCCTAAGTTGCCTGCGAAAACAGCCTTTTCTCCTCGCTCCTAGCCACTAGGGATGTTTTGCCAGGAGGGATGTCTGCACCTAAAAAACAGAAATCCCACACTGATGATGTAAAATCTGTCCAGAATATGATCAGGAGCTCTGATTGGTCGATGTAGTAGTTACATTGTTTTAGCTAGCTATTATTTATAAATTACGGCAAACAGTCACAATGGTCAAATGTAAATGCTATGAATCTACCACGTACAACGAAACCGTCAATACTTGTAGAATATACTCTTCCTTAGAAGAAGCATTAATTTGAGTTTTGCTTGAGCTCTTTTGCAGAAGAACACAAAACTTTACCATAATCAACCAGGTGTAACATAAGGAAAGGCAACTTTATTGATGCTTCAGTGTATACAGTGTATTTTAAATAGCACATGCACTCATTTGTGTTGATTTACCATAATCAAATGAATAAATGAGCCAGTATCAGTGTTAACAACAGAGCAATACATCGCATCTTGGAACATCAGCACCTTAAACAAATTAGAGCCAAGATTTCAAATTCACAGGAGCATATAGCCTGTGAGAAAATAGCCGACATTTCATGATGCCTCCACTGGTTTTCCTGCAAAATGACATCTGATGATGTGTCACTGCCCAGGTCTGCATAGTGCCTCTGATTGGTTCGAGCAAATTTCCCATGCGGCATGACCAATCAGAAGCACTTCCCAGTTCTGGGAAGTGAGGCGTCTTCTGTATGGAATTTCTGCGCTTGTTTCTCAGACATCATTTCACAGGAAACCAGTGGAAGCATCTCGAAAGGATGGCTTTTTTCTCAGGCTAAGGAGCATATACTACCCAGGTAGAAATTTTCTACCTAAGTCTTTCCCATTTGCCCTTGATCTTTAATTTTAAGAATGTGGGGATTAACTGTCTTGCAGAAAATGGTTGCCCAGAATGTGCTTCTGTTAGTTACCATGTACATGTATGTCGTCTGTAGCTCTAAATACAAATTCACTAAGGAAAACTAGTTAGGTACAAAAGACAGATAAGACAGATGTTTGAAATTTAGTATTTACCCAGTGATATTATGTAGCCCTATTTCTGAAATCATGTAAGGCTGATCTATCAGATGTTCCTTCTTTTTATTTTGGTAGCAAATAAAGGCTTTGTCATCTCAACTAAAGAAAAATACTGACTATTCATGTAATCATGGGGAGATGGACTGCAATCGACCAAAAAATCGGTACAAAGATATTGTGCCATGTGAGTATAAATTCTGTAACATCATCACTACAGTTACTAACAGTTTACTGTCCAGGGATGGACTGAGTGTACAGTTGTGTAGCAGGGCTCAAAAAAAGTCCCATTGGGTAGCCTGGAACGAGTAGATTTTCTTACTGGGCAAATAACTTTCAAAGCTTTTTTGTCCAATGGGCAAAGGCCATCCACTGTGATGAGTAAGAAGTGACCCCTGGCAAGCAAAATGTGACAGCTGCTTCCCCAAAGGACAAGCTTGAATTCAGGTTTTTTTCGAGCCCTGTAAGCAGGCTTTTTTATTAATCAATCTGGCTTATTTTAATTCCTTTTTACCTTCAGAGTTACTTGTACGCCATACTGGAAATCACACTAAATCACGTATTATTTTGATCCTCCTCCTCATTATCATTATTATACCTGCGCTCAGTCAATGGGTTCAGCATATGTATAGTTTGATAAGGGGCTGTCCAGACTTGGTGCTTGGGAACCAGTGCCTGGGTAACAGCACAAAATGGTGTTGTGTTCACACTTTGAGTACCTGATATATGACTGTGTACATAGTTACTCCATTTTGCCCTGTCCGATGCCACTTTGAAATATGAGCTTAGCAGCAAGAACAAAGCAGTGGACTGCACGGAACTTACAAAAATTGTGTGCAGACAGGGACCCAGTGCTCACTTTTGTGCCTGTGTACAAGGTCTTGACCTTATACTCAGGCACCGGCACTGTGCCCGAATTCTAGTGTGGGTACCTAAAAAAAGGGTGTGTTCACATTTGTGCCCATTGAGTACTGACTTGGGCACTGTGCCTGGGCACCAAGTGTGAATGCTGCCTAAGTCTTCTCCAAACAGGTCTGTTGTTGGCACTCTCCTGCCCATGGCTGAGATCAATTTAGGCTGTGCTCTAGTTGGGGCTGGTCATGGCCCCTGGCACCTACATGTAACTTGTTTTTTCGTAGAAATGATGTTCTGGGCACCCTGGATTTCACAGGTTCAGACTGCTGGGCTTCCTTTATTTTTCTCACTTCACAGGCAGTTGTCAATACTTCTCCATTTCTATTTCTCTTAGCAACATTAATTATTAATCTTCAATCATGTACATGTACTGTATTATCAACCCTTAAATAAAAAAATTTTTCTTGCATGAAATGTTTCTGTAGTTGACTACAATCGCGTCATGTTACCAACATTATCGGGTGTACCAGGATCAGATTACATGAATGGAAATTATATCAAGGTAAGACCAAAACTCCCTTGTAGCTCTGAAGACTGTTGAGCTTTCCAAAATTATTTCTTGTCATGTGATGTACACCACGCAACACTCAGTGGCTTCAAAATTAATGTAATCCTCATGGCAATACAGGGTGCAAAGAAAGTCAGTTATACAGCCTGTCATTTGGGCAAGCTGTAGCTAGCATGTTCTCGCCCACAAGTCATTTCAACTAGCCCAAAACACTTTTTGATTAGCAGGATTGATTACAATCTGTCTGTAATTTAAAGTTCCCCCCAAAACAGCACTTGCCCGTTGGGCAAATTAAGAACAAAAATCACTAGGCCGATAGCAAAATCCACTAGCCCCGGGCTATCGCACACAACTTTCTTTGCGCGCTGCAATAACTCATTTTTGTCCTTTTCGGCAATGTACTTGTGTTTTTGAATGTAACACAGTCCTGTAAGTGTAGGTGTCAATATGTTTGAAGACTCAGCTGATAGCTAACTGATGATGACCAATTTTTCAGGGTGCGGATGGAAACACTGCATACATAGCCTTACAGGGACCTCTGCCAAGAACTGTAGATGATTTTTGGAGGTTGATTGCTTCTCATAGATGCCAGGTGGATAATGTGTATAACTTTTTATATTACTGTCATCTTAGTGGTTATTGAATTGTTTTTATTGGTCCACATTAGTATTTAAAGAAATATCTCTTTAACTATAAGCAATGCAAGGAGGTTTGTACTGTATGTTATGGACTGAGTTTTTACTCAATGTTATCGCGGCTGTCCAAGGTTGAAGCACACAGGCCAAAAAATCAACAGGATAAAAGGAAGATCTGTAACTTGCAGCACAGACTGAGAAAATGAGGTTGGCTACATTGTAGGTATAGTTAACTGGGCATACAGAAAAGGAAACTTTCAAAATATTTAGGGCACTGTACTCTAGTGGAGTAAGGCCTGTTTCAAACATTGTGCTAGCTGCCGTTCTAAGCTGGCTTGACTTCAGCACAACTGCAGAAGCACAACTTGGTTTCAAACGTGGAATTTAACTTAGTCAAATAAAATAACTGGTGTGGAAACAAAGCTTTTTAGTGAACTTCTAAAATGTATTCTAATATATGTATTATTCATGAATTGAGTGCAGCGAGGCAGTGGCACGATGGTTGAAACCAAGACGTGCTACAGCTGTGTAGCACAGCAAAACTTGCCATGTTTCATGGCAGTGGCACCACTTGGCCTGAAACATTGAGCTACTGCTGTGATAGTTAAAGCTGTTCCTTTAAGTTAGGCATGGCAGTACAGTTGTAGCATTTGAAACATGCCTTGAGGACCTGCAAAATTGACCATAATCACAGCACATGTAACTGACAAAGTGGTATTAATAAATGATTTTATTAAGCTTTTGCCTTTTATCTGAATTTTCTTATCTTACTGCTAGATCGTGATTATGGTATGCAGAGAAATTGAGATGGGAAAACTGAAATGTAAAAGATATTGGCCTATGAGTAAGGATGAGAAAATGAGCTTCGCTGGTATGCAAATCTCACTGGTAAGTAATATATCACATTATTATTTTAACAGTTTGCCTGTTGCACCTTGTTCAAATGATAATATACACTGTAGCAATGTTTGTTTGATGGTCCATCCATTTATAAGACCCTGTCCCTACTTGCAGATCTCTGAAGAAGACATTGCTGAAGGCTTTGTTATAAGAACTATGCAGATGAAATCTGTGAAGGTACACGGGTATATTTCTTATGTTTTATTCTCTTAAGGACAATCAGCCAGCATGATAGTACAATGTTTTTTTAAAGCCCATGGCTGTTGGTCTGGCCAGTGTTTGAAGCAGCATCCTCCTGCTCGGCAGACCAGCACTGTTCCCACTGTGCTAACCTAAACCGGGTGACCAAAATTAGTTGTCTCAGTTAATGTGTACATTGTACTATACTATTAGTTTGATGATCACCTCTGTTACAACTGACCTCCAAATCTTATTATCTTGGAGTTTTGGATGGTAAATCAGGTGAGGTAATTAACTTGTATTTAATAAAAACAAGGGTAATTTTCCACTGGCTGAGTGTAACGAATTAAGTGAGAAATGTTTTTCTCACACATTGCTGGGGGCCTGGGTATAGGTCATGTGACTGAAGGGCAGGCAGTTGCTTTTGTTGCGTCCGTCTTTACTGACCTTCCCACCCCCCCACCCTAAGATTTCAGTTTTGTATTCTGTTAAATGTACGGTGCAACTTTGTAGTGTTTGTTAGTGTCCTACCTTTCTAAGGTTATGATATGTGAGCATTTTTGAGTTTAAAATAAAGGTCAGGCTGCGGCGGTCGGCTTGGCATGGCTACCAGTGGTGTGTGAGAAAAAAAAATTAATATAAGGGGTTTGTTATGACAGAAATTTTGCAATCATGTTACATGTACTATTAATACAAGACTCGATCATTCATTCATACCTTGATGTAGGACCAAATGACGTGTTCATGCATCATTGACATTCATAACAATTGATCAAATTTGTTATTGAACTATTATAATTCTTTATTATTTTTTTTAGGATGAAATGACAGTGACCCAATTACAGTACACAGCATGGCCTGATCATGACGTCCCAAAGTCAGCAACTCCTCTCATTGAAATTAGTAGAACTCTTAAAAGTCTCCAAGGCAACAGAAAACAACAAGTTTTAATTCACTGCAGGTCAGTTACGTCAGTGCTACTTAACAATAATATTAAAGTTACATGTACCTCTATTTTTTTGGACTGAGAGGTCATGTTCCTCATACTTTATAATCAGTCATGCAAAAAAATCTCATAAACAGTCCTCCTAAATTGCAGCTGAACTTTTTGAAACTGAAGTTTCATGTTAGATTTCTTGGAGAAGATCCACTCATTGCATTAGCCTATGTACATAATTATGTTCTTTCTGCCTGGGACTATATCCTTCCCAACTTCTTTTCACAATGTTTCTGCATAGAGGCAATCCATTGCTTTGGATTGTTTTCTTTTATGTACTTGCCTTTAAAGTCTCACTGATGAAAAGAGTCTGCTATTCAAAATACTTTAAAATTTGACTTTCAGTGCTGGATGTGGTAGAACAGGAACAATCTGTGCTGTAGATTATGCTTGGGATCTGCTTAAGATGCAAGTAAGTGCAAGTTAAGAAAATAAAAACTAACAAGGTACTTTTATGTGTCTTACCAACATCTCATTCTGTTCTGTTCCTCTCCATCCATCCTCATTCATCTCATCTGTTCATGCATGCATTCCATCACCTAAATAAATTAATTAACAAATTAATCAATTAATCAATTTATACATTCGTTTTTTGGTTAACTTGTTTTGTCCATTTTTTAAAATACTTTTTCTCTTCTTTAATTTTTTTTCTATTCCATGGATTAAAATTCTCATTCCTGCTATTTGTGTTGCAGAAAACAAACAATTTTAGCGTGTATGATATTGTAACAAGCCTAAGAAAGCAAAGGATGGCTATGGTCCAAACCAAGGTACCTAACAAAACAGAAATAATTTGCAGTGTTTTTAAGTAAACAAAAAATAAATGAAAAATCTGCTGCAGAGGGTTTGAACTTCATAGAACTTGGTCTTTACATTTCCTTAGGCTAGTGTGGCAATGACTTTACAGCAACACTGTCAAGCTTAAAAAATGTAACGTAATGTTGCTTCGCGCAGCATGCAAAGAAAGTCGTATCCGTTGGCCCGGGCCTAATGGATTTTGCTATCAGGCTAGTGATTTTTGTTCTTAACTTGCCCAACAGGCAAGTGCTGCTTTTTGGGGAAATTCAAATTACACAAGGATTGTAATCAATCCTGCTAATCAAAAAGGGTTTGGGGGCTAGTTGAAATGACTTGTGGGCTAGTACATGCTAGTTACATCTTGCCGGAATGGCAGGCTGTAAAACTGACTTTCTTTGCACCCTGCTTCATGTAACCTTCCATAGCCAGATGCACTTTTTAAAGGTCAGAACACAATAGGTGACATGTTGCTGCAACATGTCATCGTGACAAATCCACTTCTTGTATGCAGGTCAGGTGACAAGTTGTGCTTTACATTGCATCGAAAAATTGCTTCCTGGTTACTGGAGAATTGTTGTGAAAATCTTGGTCTGTGCAACAGAATTTTGTCCTGTCACAAAATTCTGTTGTGGAGACAAACATTTTCACAGAATTTCGAGAAAACGTTCTGTTTTTGTGAGTGATTCTATTTAAAAGACAGTATATTTACAGCAGTTAAAAGGGATGCAAAGTTCTAAACAAGCTATGTGAAAGGGGTACCATTTGTCAATAGAAGGTATACAAAAGGGGTACCTTTTTTGTGAAAAACGGCGTATGTTAAAAAGGGTAAGGGGTTGGACCTCGGGGCGGAGCCTCCCCGTATAAACATTAATTGAGTCTCCCCGCCCCCCGGGATTATTGACAGCAACTTTTTGAGGATCCAGCAAGTATTGGTAGATTTGAATCGCAATACTAAATCTTCTGTTGGATTTTAAGGTTAGCTGTACTAAATCTTGATAACACTTGCCCTTGAAGATAATCATATTAACGTGTTTCCAAACAGGAGCAGTATGAATTAGTCTACAAAGCTGTAGTCCAACTTGTTCAAGAGCAAATAGAAGAGGAGAAATTCACGTTCCACACATACGTTAATGTAGAGCTGCCCAAGTCTCCAAAGTCACAGACCTTATCTGGGGAATCAAACTATGAGAACTGTGAGTTTATTAGAAGCGTTAATCGGTGGAAACAGAGTGACATGCAAAATGGATCAGTGCCTAGGAAAAAGTTGCCTCTACCGGTGGAAGCTCCAGCAGGTACTAAATTTGATCCTAAACCATCATTGTCAAAAAAACCTGCGATAACACCACCATCTCCTGATCCATCAAAAAGACCACCTCTTCCACTACCCTCTCCTGAGCAAAAGCTGACATCACCTGATGTAAAAGGAGGCAAAGACTATGTAAATGTAGAGTTTTTAAGCTCCAATGAGCAGAAAAGGAAATCACCCATGGAAGTTACAGAAAACAAGCCTGCAATTCCAGGGAAACCAACAGTCCCTCATAAACCAATGCAAAATTCTGATGGTGGAAAAATTAAGGGTCAATCTCCAACGTCTGGACAACAAAAACCTCCTTCAATATCTGATTATGAAGTGCTTCCTGGACCACCATCGACAGCAAGCCCGCCTACAGTGATTAACACTAGAAATAAAGGGACAGTCAGTGATTACGAGATCCCTCCTGTGGCTTCTCAAGGTGCTAAGAATCCAACCAGACACGTTCCTGAAGGTATGTGGAACTATTAGCATTCCTGAGTAGATAACTTACCGCTCTTATTCTAACCCCTCCTCCGGGGACACTTCCCCTATCAAAAATTATGGGGGTGCTTATCTGAAAATTTCAAAAATACACCTAAACGGTACCAGAATCTCGTTTTGTGGGCGTGGCTCCAAATCGTTTTTACCTCTAGGGATATCAAGTCTAAAACCAATTGTATTGCATTGATAATGGGAACCAAGACGAGTGAAGGTAGAGAGTGCTTATTTTCCATCGGTAAACGTCATTTGACAACAACAACAACAATAATCTGTTTTGCCTGATTAACAAACCTGAGGCCGAGGGTGCGCTCAATTTATCCCCCCTCTGTCCATCAGCGCTCCGATTTGTTAAAAGGAAATTCTTTTTTAACTATTAAGAGTCATCTAGGTAGGAACAAAGTCAAAGTATGTGTTTTTGAGAGGGTTGTAGTTGTAGTATTTAAATCTAATTTATAACATCTTTTCTAACGCAGTAATTTTTATTTTTAAACATCATTTCTAAACATCGTATCTTAACCGAAGCAGACTAACATGAAAGCAGTCTAATGGTTAGTTGACTACAATCGCGTCATGTTACCAACATTATCGGGTGTACCAGGATCAGATTACATGAATGGAAATTATATCAAGGTAAGACCAAAACTCCCTTGTAGCTCTGAAGACTGTTGAGCTTTCCAAAATGATGTCTTGTCATGTGATGTACACCAGGCAACACTCAGTGGCTTCAAAATTAATGTAATCCTCATGGCAATACAGGGTGCAAAGAAAGTCAGTTATACAGCCTGTCATTCGGGCAAGCTGTAGCTAGCATGTTCTCGTTCACAAGTCATTTCAACTAGCCCAAAACACTTTTTGATTAGCAGGATTGATTACAATCTGTTTGTAATTTAAAGTTCCCCCCAAAACAGCACTTGCCCGTCGGGCAAGTTAAGAACAAAAATCACTAGCCCGATAGCAAAATCCACTAGCCCCGGGCTATCGGACAAGACTTTCTTTGCATGCTGCAATAACTCCCATTTTTGTCCTTTTGGGCAATGTACTTGAGTTTTTTAATGTAACACAGTCCTGTAAGTGTTACATGTAGGTGTCAGTATGTTTGGAGACTCAGCTGATAGCTAACTGGTGATGACCAATTTTTCAGGGTGCGGATGGAAACACTGCATACATAGCCTTACAGGGACCTCTGCCAAGAACTGTTGATGATTTTTGGAGGTTGATCGCTTCTCATAGATGCCAGGTGGATAATGTGTATAACTTTTTATATTATTGTTATCTTAGTAGTTATTGAATTGTTTTTATTGGTTTACATTAGTATTTAAAGAAATATCTCTTAACTATAAGCAATGCAAGGAGGTTTGTACTGTATGTTATGGACTGAGTTTTTACTCAATGTTATCGCGGCTGTCCAAGGTTGAAGTGCACAGGCCAAAAAATCAACAGGATAAAAGGAAGATCTGTAACTTGCAGCACAGACTGAGAAAATGAGGTTGGCTACATTGTAGGTATAGTTAACTGGGCATACCGAAAAGGAAACTTTCAAAATATTTAGCGCATTGTACTCCAGTGGAGTAAGGCCTGTTTCAAACATTGTGCTAGCTGCTGTTCTAAGCTGGCTTGACTTCAGCACAAGTGCAGTAGCACAACTTGGTTTCAAACGTGGAATTTAACTCAGTCAAATAAAATAACTGGTGTGGATACAAAGCTTTTTAGTGAACTTCTAAAATGTATGTATTATTCATGAATTGAGTCCAGCACAGCAGCGGCACGATGGTTAAAACCAAGACGTGCTACAGCTGTGTAGCACAGCAAAACTTGCCATGTTTCATGGCAGTGGCACCACTTGGCTTGAAACGTTGTGCTACTGCTGTGATAGTTAAAGCTGTTCCTTTAAGTTAGGCATGGCAGTACAGTTGTAGCATTTGAAACATGCCTTGAGGACCTGCAAAATCGACCATAATCACAGCACATGTAACTGACAAAGAGGTATTAATAAATGATTTTACTAAGCTTTCGCATTTTATCTGAATTTTCTTATCTTACTGCTAGATCGTGATTATGGTATGCAGAGAAATTGAGATGGGAAAACTGAAGTGTAAAAGATATTGGCCCATGAGTAAGGATGAGAAAATGAGCTTTGCTGGTATGCAAATCTCACTGGTAAGTAATATATCACGTTATTATTTTAACAGTTTGCCTGTTGCACCTTGTTCAAAGAATAAAATACACTGTAGCAATATTTGTTTGCTGGTCCATCCATTTATGAGACCCTGTCCCTTCTTGCAGATCTCTGAAGAAGACATTGCTGAAGGCTTTGTTATCAGAACTATGCAGATGAAATCTGTGAAGGTACACGGGTATATTTCTTATGTTTAATTCTCGTAACCCTTTAAGCTCCAAGATCCAAATACAAATTGTCCAGACCGATCTCCATACGTTTCCTTTAAGAATAGTTGAGAGAATTTGGTTTAAGATCAAAGTATTCTCCCTTTGGTCCTCAATTGAGTAATTCTCATAACCTTTTCTCTTGTTGATCTTGTTGTTACGAGAAAATTGATGTTGGAAACTCTTATGACAAGCAGCCAGCATGATCGTACATGTTTTTTTTAAAGCCCATGGCTGTTGGTCTGGCCAGTGTTTGAAGCAGCATCCTCCTGCTCGGCAGACCAGCACTGTTCCCACTGTGCTAACCTAAACTGGGCGACCAAAATTAGTTGTCTTAGTAAATGTGTACATTGTACTATACTATTAGTTTGATGATCACCTCTGTTACAACTGACCTCCAAATCTTATTATCTTGGAGTTTTTGATGGTAAATCAGGCGAGGTAATTAACTTGTATTTAATAAAAACAAGGGTAATTTTCCACTGGCTGAGTGTAACGAATTAAGTGGAAAATGTTATTCTCACACACTGCTGGGTGCCTGGGTATAGGTCATGTGACTGAAGGGCGGGCAGTTGCTTTTGTTGCTACCGTCATTACTGACCTTCCCACCCCCCACCCTAAGATTTCAGTTTTGTATTCTGTTAAATGTACGGTGCAACTTTGTAGTGTTTGTTAGTGTCCTACCTTTCTAAGGTTATGATATGTGAGCATTTTTGAGTTTAAAATAAAGGTCAGGCTGCGGCGGTCGGCTTGGCATGGCTACCAGTGGTGTGTGAGAAAAAAAAATTAATATAAGGGGTTTGTTATGATAGAAATTTTGCAATCATATTACATGTACTATTAATACAAGACTCGATCATTCATTCATACCTTGATGTAGGACCAAATGACGTGTTCATGCATCATTGACATTCATAACAATTGATCAAATTTGTTATTGAACTATTATAATTCTTTATTATTTTTTTTAGGATGAAATGACAGTGACCCAATTACAGTACACAGCATGGCCTGATCATGACGTCCCAAAGTCAGCAACTCCTCTCATTGAAATTAGTAGAACTCTTAAAAGTCTCCAAGGCAACAGAAAACAACAAGTTTTAATTCACTGCAGGTCAGTTACGTCAGTGCTACTTAACAATAATATTAAAGTTACATGTACCTCTATTTTTTTGGACTGAGAGGTCATGTTCCTCATACTTTATAATCAGTCATGCAAAAAAATCTCATAAACAGTCCTCCTAAATTGCAGCTGAACTTTTTGAAACTGAAGTTTCATGTTAGATTTCTTGGAGAAGATCCACTCATTGCATTAGCCTATGTACATAATTATGTTCTTTCTGCCTGGGACTATATCCTTCCCAACTTCTTTTCACAATGTTTCTGCATAGAGGCAATCCATTGCTTTGGATTGTTTTCTTTTATGTACTTGCCTTTAAAGTCTCACTGATGAAAAGAGTCTGCTATTCAAAATACTTTAAAATTTGACTTTCAGTGCTGGATGTGGTAGAACAGGAACAATCTGTGCTGTAGATTATGCTTGGGATCTGCTTAAGATGCAAGTAAGTGCAAGTTAAGAAAATAAAAACTAACATGTTACTTTTATGTGTCTTACCAACATCTCATTCTGTTCTGTTCCTCTCCATCCATCCTCATTCATCTCATCTGTTCATGCATGCATTCCATCACCTAAATAAATTCATTAACAAATTAATCAATTAATCAATTTATACATTCGTTTCTTGGTTAACTTGTTTTGTCCATTTTTTAAAATACTTTTTCTCTTCTTTAATTTTTTTTTCTATTCCAAGGATTAAAATTCTAATTCCTGTTATTTGTGTTGCAGAAAACAAACAATTTTAGCGTGTATGATATTGTAACAAGCCTAAGAAAGCAAAGGATGGCTATGGTCCAAACCAAGGTACCTAACAAAACAGAAATAATTTGCAGTGTTTTTAAGTAAACAAAAAATAAATGAAAAATCTGCTGCAGAGGGTTTGAACTTCATAGAACTTGGTCTTTACATTTCCTTAGGCTAGTGTGGCAATGACTTTACAGCAACACTGTCAAGCTTAAAAAATGTAACGTAATGTTGCTTCGCGCAGCATGCAAAGAAAGTCGTATCCGTTGGCCCGGGCCTAATGGATTTTGCTATCAGGCTAGTGATTTTTGTTCTTAACTTGCCCAACAGGCAAGTGCTGCTTTTTGGGGAAATTCAAATTACACAAGGATTGTAATCAATCCTGCTAATCAAAAAGGGTTTGGGGGCTAGTTGAAATGACTTGTGGGCTAGTACATGCTAGTTACATCTTGCCGGAATGGCAGGCTGTAAAACTGACTTTCTTTGCACCCTGCTTCATGTAACCTTCCATAGCCAGATGCACTTTTTAAAGGTCAGAACACGATAGGTGACATGTTGCTGCAACATGTCATCGTGACAAATCCACTTCTTGTATGCAGGTCAGGTGACAAGTTGTGCTTTACATTGCATCGAAAAATTGCTTCCTGGTTACTGGAGAATTGTTGTGAAAATCTTGGTCTGTGCAACAGAATTTTGTCCTGTCACAAAATTCTGTTGTGGAGACAAACATTTTCACAGAATTTCGAGAAAACGTTCTGTTTTTGTGAGTGATTCTATTTAAAAGACAGTATATTTACAGCAGTTAAAAGGGATGCAAAGTTCTAAACAAGCTATGTGAAAGGGGTACCATTTGTCAATAGAAGGTATACAAAAGGGGTACCTTTTTTGTGAAAAACGGCGTATGTTAAAAAGGGTAAGGGGTTGGACCTCGGGGCGGAGCCTCCCCGTATAAACATTAATTGAGTCTCCCCGCCCCCCGGGATTATTGACAGCAACTTTTTGAGGATCCAGCAAGTATTGGTAGATTTGAATCGCAATACTAAATCTTCTGTTGGATTTTAAGGTTAGCTGTACTAAATCTTGATAACACTTGCCCTTGAAGATAATCATATTAACGTGTTTCCAAACAGGAGCAGTATGAATTAGTCTACAAAGCTGTAGTCCAACTTGTTCAAGAGCAAATAGAAGAGGAGAAATTCACGTTCCACACATACGTTAATGTAGAGCTGCCCAAGTCTCCAAAGTCACAGACCTTATCTGGGGAATCAAACTATGAGAACTGTGAGTTTATTAGAAGCGTTAATCGGTGGAAACAGAGTGACATGCAAAATGGATCAGTGCCTAGGAAAAAGTTGCCTCTACCGGTGGAAGCTCCAGCAGGTACTAAATTTGATCCTAAACCATCATTGTCAAAAAAACCTGCGATAACACCACCATCTCCTGATCCATCAAAAAGACCACCTCTTCCACTACCCTCTCCTGAGCAAAAGCTGACATCACCTGATGTAAAAGGAGGCAAAGACTATGTAAATGTAGAGTTTTTAAGCTCCAATGAGCAGAAAAGGAAATCACCCATGGAAAGTACAGAAAACAAGCCTGCAATGCCAGGGAAACCAACAGTCCCTCATAAACCAATGCAAAATTCTGATGGTGGAAAAATTAAGGGTCAATCTCCAACGTCTGGACAACAAAAACCTCCTTCAATATCTGATTATGAAGTGCTTCCTGGACCACCATCGACAGCAAGCCCGCCTACAGTGATTAACACTAGAAATAAAGGGACAGTCAGTGATTACGAGATCCCTCCTGTGGCTTCTCAAGGTGCTAAGAATCCAACCAGACACGTTCCTGAAGGTATGTGGAACTATTAGCATTCCTGAGTAGATAACTTACCGCTCTTATTCTAACCCCTCCTCCGGGGACACTTCCCCTATCAAAAATTATGGGGGTGCTTATCTGAAAATTTCAAAAATACACCTAAACGGTACCAGAATCTCGTTTTGTGGGCGTGGCTCCAAATCGTTTTTACCTCTAGGGATATCAAGTCTAAAACCAATTGTATTGCATTGATAATGGGAACCAAGACGAGTGAAGGTAGAGAGTGCTTATTTTCCATCGGTAAACGTCATTTGACAACAACAACAACAATAATCTGTTTTGCCTGATTAACAAACCTGAGGCCGAGGGTGCGCTCAATTTATCCCCCCTCTGTCCATCAGCGTTCCGATTTGTTAAAAGGAAATTCTTTTTTAACTATTAAGAGTCATCTAGGTAGGAACAAAGTCAAAGTATGTGTTTTTGAGAGGGTTGTAGTTGTAGTATTTAAATCTAATTTATAACATCTTTTCTAACGCAGTAATTTTTATTTTTAAACATCATTTCTAAACATCGTATCTTAACCGAAGCAGACTAACATGAAAGCAGTCTAATGGTAATGCGCCATGTATCATAATTTTAAACATAGATTAACTAACTGCTGAATTGCTTGTAAGTTTGATAAAAGCAATAACAGATTAAATAAAGAAGGACTAGCAATCTGAAGACGTAGGCTGCTTTCTTTTGTTTTTGCGAAGCACGTGTTGCTGCTCGCATTTCAGTTTGGTTCTATGTGGGTGTTAAAAATAATTCATGGCATATAGTTTTGTTTGCAAGTTGTATAAATGACCTGATAAATAATCTGTTTATTAAACCAGGTTTGCTAATCGATCTTGGGAACAATACACCTCCATTGCCGAATAAACGCTCCTCAGGAGATTGCACTAGATATGAGAATATTCAAGGTAATTGAGAGGCTCGTCAGCTGCAGTTAAATATGTAATACTACTACTACGTGAGAAATTTCTGCAATTTGATTGGCTTAGAGAAGTGGTATTTCAGCTTAATTTGAAATACCTACATGTGAAAATTACAAACCTTTTGCGGGTAGTAGTATAAACAAATAACAGCATAATTTGTTCGTGATATTTGTATATATAGGTAATAGCATGATTTGTAGTGATATTTGGCATAAATACCACGGGTGATATTTCGAAATTGTTATACGTAATTTCACGAGCCGTTAGGCGAGTGAAATTTGAGACAATTTTGAAATATCACGTACAAATCATGCTATTATTTGTTTATACCACTACAGGTTTGTAATTTTCACATGTAGGTATTTCAAATTAAGCTGAAATACCACTGCTCTAAGCCAATCAAATTCCAGAAATTTCTCATGTAGTAGTATAAAATACGTAATAGTCTAGAAACGTCCACATGTACGATAATGTACAGTCTAACCTCTCCTTACGGACACCTCTATAATACGGACACCTCTCTATTACGACTGTCCGTTTGGTCCCAGAAAAGCCAAAACTCATACATTCCCTACCTCTATAATACGGACACCTCTGTAAAGTGGACACTTGGTTCTGTCCCTTTGGTGTCCATATTAAAGAGGTTTGACTGTACCTCATAGCCTGAGACAACAACTGACGTTTTGTTACGCCTCCAACGGTTTCCCGGGGAAACTGTGGGTGGCGTCTCGAAATATCGGCCAATTTTCTCAGGCTATTTTTCTCGGCACATGAAATCTTGGCGAATTTAGAGATTTTTCAGGGTTGGATTGTGGCGAAAGGTACAATTTTTATACAGTCTTAGTTGACTACAATCGCGTCATGTTACCAACATTATCGGGTGTACCAGGATCAGATTACATGAATGGAAATTATATCAAGGTAAGACCAAAACTCCCTTGTAGCTCTGAAGACTGTTGAGCTTTCCAAAATTATTTCTTGTCATGTGATGTACACCACGCAACACTCAGTGGCTTCAAAATTAATGTAATCCTCATGGCAATACAGGGTGCAAAGAAAGTCAGTTATACAGCCTGTCATTTGGGCAAGCTGTAGCTAGCATGTTCTCGCCCACAAGTCATTTCAACTAGCCCAAAACACTTTTTGATTAGCAGGATTGATTACAATCTGTCTGTAATTTAAAGTTCCCCCCAAAACAGCACTTGCCCGTTGGGCAAATTAAGAACAAAAATCACTAGGCCGATAGCAAAATCCACTAGCCCCGGGCTATCGCACACAACTTTCTTTGCGCGCTGCAATAACTCATTTTTGTCCTTTTCGGCAATGTACTTGTGTTTTTGAATGTAACACAGTCCTGTAAGTGTAGGTGTCAATATGTTTGAAGACTCAGCTGATAGCTAACTGATGATGACCAATTTTTCAGGGTGCGGATGGAAACACTGCATACATAGCCTTACAGGGACCTCTGCCAAGAACTGTAGATGATTTTTGGAGGTTGATTGCTTCTCATAGATGCCAGGTGGATAATGTGTATAACTTTTTATATTACTGTCATCTTAGTGGTTATTGAATTGTTTTTATTGGTCCACATTAGTATTTAAAGAAATATCTCTTTAACTATAAGCAATGCAAGGAGGTTTGTACTGTATGTTATGGACTGAGTTTTTACTCAATGTTATCGCGGCTGTCCAAGGTTGAAGCACACAGGCCAAAAAATCAACAGGATAAAAGGAAGATCTGTAACTTGCAGCACAGACTGAGAAAATGAGGTTGGCTACATTGTAGGTATAGTTAACTGGGCATACAGAAAAGGAAACTTTCAAAATATTTAGGGCACTGTACTCTAGTGGAGTAAGGCCTGTTTCAAACATTGTGCTAGCTGCCGTTCTAAGCTGGCTTGACTTCAGCACAACTGCAGAAGCACAACTTGGTTTCAAACGTGGAATTTAACTTAGTCAAATAAAATAACTGGTGTGGAAACAAAGCTTTTTAGTGAACTTCTAAAATGTATTCTAATATATGTATTATTCATGAATTGAGTGCAGCGAGGCAGTGGCACGATGGTTGAAACCAAGACGTGCTACAGCTGTGTAGCACAGCAAAACTTGCCATGTTTCATGGCAGTGGCACCACTTGGCCTGAAACATTGAGCTACTGCTGTGATAGTTAAAGCTGTTCCTTTAAGTTAGGCATGGCAGTACAGTTGTAGCATTTGAAACATGCCTTGAGGACCTGCAAAATTGACCATAATCACAGCACATGTAACTGACAAAGTGGTATTAATAAATGATTTTATTAAGCTTTTGCCTTTTATCTGAATTTTCTTATCTTACTGCTAGATCGTGATTATGGTATGCAGAGAAATTGAGATGGGAAAACTGAAATGTAAAAGATATTGGCCTATGAGTAAGGATGAGAAAATGAGCTTCGCTGGTATGCAAATCTCACTGGTAAGTAATATATCACATTATTATTTTAACAGTTTGCCTGTTGCACCTTGTTCAAATGATAATATACACTGTAGCAATGTTTGTTTGATGGTCCATCCATTTATAAGACCCTGTCCCTACTTGCAGATCTCTGAAGAAGACATTGCTGAAGGCTTTGTTATAAGAACTATGCAGATGAAATCTGTGAAGGTACACGGGTATATTTCTTATGTTTTATTCTCTTAAGGACAATCAGCCAGCATGATAGTACAATGTTTTTTTAAAGCCCATGGCTGTTGGTCTGGCCAGTGTTTGAAGCAGCATCCTCCTGCTCGGCAGACCAGCACTGTTCCCACTGTGCTAACCTAAACCGGGTGACCAAAATTAGTTGTCTCAGTTAATGTGTACATTGTACTATACTATTAGTTTGATGATCACCTCTGTTACAACTGACCTCCAAATCTTATTATCTTGGAGTTTTGGATGGTAAATCAGGTGAGGTAATTAACTTGTATTTAATAAAAACAAGGGTAATTTTCCACTGGCTGAGTGTAACGAATTAAGTGAGAAATGTTTTTCTCACACATTGCTGGGGGCCTGGGTATAGGTCATGTGACTGAAGGGCAGGCAGTTGCTTTTGTTGCGTCCGTCTTTACTGACCTTCCCACCCACCCACCCTAAGATTTCAGTTTTGTATGCTGTTAAATGTACGGTGCAACTTTGTAGTGTTTGTTAGTGTCCTACCTTTCTAAGGTTATGATATGTGAGCATTTTTGAGTTTAAAATAAAGGTCAGGCTGCGGCGGTCGGCTTGGCATGGCTACCAGTGGTGTGTGAGAAAAAAAAATTAATATAAGGGGTTTGTTATGATAGAAATTTTGCAATCATATTACATGTACTATTAATACAAGACTCGATCATTCATTCATACCTTGATGTAGGACCAAATGACGTGTTCATGCATCATTGACATTCATAACAATTGATCAAATTTGTTATTGAACTATTATAATTCTTTATTATTTTTTTTAGGATGAAATGACAGTGACCCAATTACAGTACACAGCATGGCCTGATCATGACGTCCCAAAGTCAGCAACTCCTCTCATTGAAATTAGTAGAACTCTTAAAAGTCTCCAAGGCAACAGAAAACAACAAGTTTTAATTCACTGCAGGTCAGTTACGTCAGTGCTACTTAACAATAATATTAAAGTTACATGTACCTCTATTTTTTTGGACTGAGAGGTCATGTTCCTCATACTTTATAATCAGTCATGCAAAAAAATCTCATAAACAGTCCTCCTAAATTGCAGCTGAACTTTTTGAAACTGAAGTTTCATGTTAGATTTCTTGGAGAAGATCCACTCATTGCATTAGCCTATGTACATAATTATGTTCTTTCTGCCTGGGACTATATCCTTCCCAACTTCTTTTCACAATGTTTCTGCATAGAGGCAATCCATTGCTTTGGATTGTTTTCTTTTATGTACTTGCCTTTAAAGTCTCACTGATGAAAAGAGTCTGCTATTCAAAATACTTTAAAATTTGACTTTCAGTGCTGGATGTGGTAGAACAGGAACAATCTGTGCTGTAGATTATGCTTGGGATCTGCTTAAGATGCAAGTAAGTGCAAGTTAAGAAAATAAAAACTAACATGTTACTTTTATGTGTCTTACCAACATCTCATTCTGTTCTGTTCCTCTCCATCCATCCTCATTCATCTCATCTGTTCATGCATGCATTCCATCACCTAAATAAATTCATTAACAAATTAATCAATTAATCAATTTATACATTCGTTTCTTGGTTAACTTGTTTTGTCCATTTTTTAAAATACTTTTTCTCTTCTTTAATTTTTTTTTCTATTCCAAGGATTAAAATTCTAATTCCTGTTATTTGTGTTGCAGAAAACAAACAATTTTAGCGTGTATGATATTGTAACAAGCCTAAGAAAGCAAAGGATGGCTATGGTCCAAACCAAGGTACCTAACAAAACAGAAATAATTTGCAGTGTTTTTAAGTAAACAAAAAATAAATGAAAAATCTGCTGCAGAGGGTTTGAACTTCATAGAACTTGGTCTTTACATTTCCTTAGGCTAGTGTGGCAATGACTTTACAGCAACACTGTCAAGCTTAAAAAATGTAACGTAATGTTGCTTCGCGCAGCATGCAAAGAAAGTCGTATCCGTTGGCCCGGGCCTAATGGATTTTGCTATCAGGCTAGTGATTTTTGTTCTTAACTTGCCCAACAGGCAAGTGCTGCTTTTTGGGGAAATTCAAATTACACAAGGATTGTAATCAATCCTGCTAATCAAAAAGGGTTTGGGGGCTAGTTGAAATGACTTGTGGGCTAGTACATGCTAGTTACATCTTGCCGGAATGGCAGGCTGTAAAACTGACTTTCTTTGCACCCTGCTTCATGTAACCTTCCATAGCCAGATGCACTTTTTAAAGGTCAGAACACGATAGGTGACATGTTGCTGCAACATGTCATCGTGACAAATCCACTTCTTGTATGCAGGTCAGGTGACAAGTTGTGCTTTACATTGCATCGAAAAATTGCTTCCTGGTTACTGGAGAATTGTTGTGAAAATCTTGGTCTGTGCAACAGAATTTTGTCCTGTCACAAAATTCTGTTGTGGAGACAAACATTTTCACAGAATTTCGAGAAAACGTTCTGTTTTTGTGAGTGATTCTATTTAAAAGACAGTATATTTACAGCAGTTAAAAGGGATGCAAAGTTCTAAACAAGCTATGTGAAAGGGGTACCATTTGTCAATAGAAGGTATACAAAAGGGGTACCTTTTTTGTGAAAAACGGCGTATGTTAAAAAGGGTAAGGGGTTGGACCTCGGGGCGGAGCCTCCCCGTATAAACATTAATTGAGTCTCCCCGCCCCCCGGGATTATTGACAGCAACTTTTTGAGGATCCAGCAAGTATTGGTAGATTTGAATCGCAATACTAAATCTTCTGTTGGATTTTAAGGTTAGCTGTACTAAATCTTGATAACACTTGCCCTTG